ATATACCAGGTTTCAGGCTCTGATTTGTTGTTGGTTGCCATTCTTTATATAGTCATAGGGCTAATGTGATATATTGCTTTATTACTTCAGCACTCTTGTACTATTGTAGCTCTGAAAAGGAGTGGGGAATGAAATATTAATCTAGTAAATGGAAACTAAATGAGGGCAGGAGTCAGTAGAATGCCTCTGTCATGCCCCCTCTTTTGGGACCAACCCAAAATACAGTGGGTACAGCTGAGACAAGTGAGATACAGACATCTTCCCTTGCCTGTATTAGAAATATCTAGGCAAGTCACTCAACAACAATTCTTTATTGATTAGTCAATTTTGACCATATCAAAACATGCAAAACATACAAGACATACACATACAGTAAAACTATATATGAATACAAGGCATCATGGCCTACTGGCCTGTCGACCCACTCCTAAATAATTGAGCAACTACAAGATAAAGAGGTTAAAAGATTAAAAATTGATTAATTCCTTAAAATAGGGTTAGGGTGGGGGGCATGGGTAGGTAAAACTAGTGGCGTGTCCATATTAAGTTTTTAAGTTTGAGTTTTGTTGATGGCAGCAAGGTCGCCTCTCTCTGCTTCCATCTTGTCACGGATGGCCAGCGCTTTTAGGGTAAAAAGGGTCAATTTTAAAATAGAATTTTTATCTGAACCCCGAAGAAGGATGTGCAATTTCTCCTTATTCTCTGAATAAGTATGGTTCTCCAGCAGAGGCTCTAGGTAGTAAGACCGGATCCTGTTGTAGTAGGGACATTTTAAGAAAAAAATGTTCTGAGTCCTCCACTTCTGCATCTACCTCACGGCACCCACAGGTTCTCCTCGTGTAGGCAAGTAAAAAAAGAACACCTTGCAGTTGGAATAAAAACTGCAGTCAGTAGTAGAAATGTACAAGAAAAAATATTGGCTAGCAAGCTATCAAAATATCGGGACTGTGGTGGAGCTGGCTGGGAGTCAGCTGCATTAAGATCACTACTGACCAAAAAGTCATGAGTTCAAAGCCAGCCCAGGCCGGAGTGAGCTTCCGACCAATTTGTGTAGCTTGCTGTCGACCTTTGCAGCCTGAAAGACAGTTGCATCTGTCAAGTAGGAAATTTAGTTACCGCTCTATGCGGGAGGTTAATATAACTAATTTATGAGGCCATAAAAATCTCCAGCAAGCATGCAAAGAATTAGGAAGTACTTCATCAGTGTCACAAATGGACGGTGAAGTGACAGCTCCCCTGGTGGCCAGAATGCCCTCATGAAAAGCTGGAATGTTAAATAGCCTCTGTATGTCTGTCTATATATGTTGTGTGTCTATGGCATTGAATGTTTGCCATGTATATGTACAATGTAATCTGCCCTGAGTCCCCCGCGAGGTGAGAAGGGCAGAATATAAATACTGTAAATAATAATTTTTTTAAAAAAAAAAAAATCCAGATAAATATAGCTATAACATTTGGCCAGTCTGAAGAAACTCTATAAGCTAGCTGGCATTACCCCCAGATGTGCAATGGAAAGTGGCTCCTAACTATGAGATAAATAAGATTGAACACTGTGAAAGCCATCCACTGCATGGCTGTCAACCTCCTCCCAGTAGATTCAAATCAAGGAAAAGCTTCATGAGAGCCACTCCTCCTCTTAATGTCGCCCCAGCAACTGCAAGAGTATCCCTCTGAGCAGCTAAACCAGGAAATCCCAATGGGATGCCCTCCCACAAGGGTTATCCTCCAGGGGCAAACCAAGAATGGGCAACTGGGAAGAAGTGGAGTGGACAGATCAAAAGACAACATGGCAAAATAACACTACCTAAAAGAATCCTCCACCTTGTGCGACTGTGGAACAGAACAGACAACTCCACATCTGTATGCTTGTCTGCAATGTTTTGCCTCATGTATAGAGGAAGAATTTTTGGAGGCTACAGACAAAGCGGTCACTATTGTCTGTTTTTGGTCAAAAGATATTTACGGTTTGTGCTCGTATTTTTATCAGTTTTATACTAATTTATGCCATGCTTTTGATATGAAATAAATAAATAAGTCTGGAGAAACCCTTAAATTACAGGTGAATGGGGCCACAGATATTCTAGTTTAGACAGCTGTAAACTTAGTGCTTCTTGGTTTAAAATACTGCATTTTCTCAAGTCTAATGCACCATTGAATCTAATGCACATCTCAACTTTCAAAACCCCGAAAGCAAAAAAAAAAAAAAAAAGCAAAAAAAAAAATCTGCTGAGTGCAATGTACAAAAAGCAGCAAAAAGTGATCTATTTGTAATTTAGAACACCAAAGCTTCCACCAGTGGGGAAAAATATCTTTGGATGCATCAAAATGTCTTTAATTGCTATGGTTCAATTCTATGGAATAATGGAGGCTGTAGTTTTACAAGGTCTTGAGACCATCTGTCAAAGGATGCTGATGCCTCACCAAACTATAGATCTCAGGATTGAATAACATTGAGCCATGGCAATTAAATTAGATGACGTCCCTCAAACAGGAGCCTCAGGTGCAATTCCTGAAGCAGCTTCCCACTTTGTTTTGGCTCAACATTAAGATTACTGTATTACGCAAATCGAAAGTGCACTTTAATTTTGGAGAGACAGTTTAGCCAAAAAGGTGACCATTAGATTTGAGTAAATAGGGTCATAGTTTTGTGTGTTCTTTTTATTAATAAATTTAGCCCTCTTGTGAGCTGGCCATACTTTTTCACTGTCCCGATGTTATGCACTTTGATGGTCAATTTGGCCAAGAGCTTCTTGCTTTTGAATTCACATTTCATATAAGGTTACTTTTCATAAATAATTTATATGCTCTATAAATAATTAGTAGTTGGTCTAAATGCATTGTAGACTATGTCAGATGGGAAAATTTAACCATAGCCCAGAGACATCTGTACAAGAATCGTCTTGGTCTCAGTGACAATTCGTTAATCATTTATGGAAAATGTCTCAATATAATTTGTTAACTGACAGAATAAAGTCTGACCTGCTTTTCTTGGAAAACTAGATCATTAATACTTTTGCATATACATTTTTTTAAAAACTACTTGCAAATAGAGGAAAGGCTAAGAAAAGCAAGTATTCAAGTTCTTCACCCTCTGTTGTTCTTATCATCCACCACATGTAGACGGTAAGATACAGAAGGCAACTGTTTACAGTATGGAGCCTCCTCCATATGTGGAAGTCATTTGTGGAATTTGGAATCTTGATTTTCCTCTGGTAGACATCATGGGACTTCTGTTAATATAGCTATGGATAATACATTGTTGAAGGCTTTCAAGGCCGGAATCACTGGAGCGTTTTGTGGTTTCCTGGCTGTATGCCGTGTTCTAGCAGCATTTGCTTGTGAAGATGTCAGCCACAGAAACATTAGGAGAAAATGGTGCTGGAACGGAGCTATACAGCCCGGAAATCACACAACACTCCAATGGATAATATAATTCAGTTACAGAGAATGTGTCACCCACTCTTTCGCTTCTCAGCCCTGGCCAGCTTAGTTAGTGAGGAAGGATGGTAGAACTCCAACAATATCTCTGGAAGACCACTGGCTTGGTTATAGTAGTGATAGCAATTACTAGTGGATTTGCAGGCCATATTTGTATCATCATTATCATTGTTGTCATCAACAATATCTCTCCTTTCTCTCAGTAATAGGTCTTAAGCTGACTAACAACATTTAAAAAGTAATGCAGATGTTTGAAACTATTTAAAAACTTTGATAAAAATATAAACTTTACAGAGTATAGCGAAGTGTCCAGTGCATTTTCTACTCAGTGTCCATAAAAATCAGTTTCAGTAACTGAAGTCTGATGGTGTGGACAAGACATTCGGAGCAATTCAGTGGTCAAGTTTACACCATGTGTAAACTTGACCATTGCCCAGTTGGGTTGATAAAATCTAATGGATTGACAGGTCTAGGGTAAGGTAAATAGTAAGTGGTAAGGGGCTTGTATGATGTCTTGAAGGAAGCAATGTTCTGTCTCCTAAAACGAACCTCCCTCAACCCAGCAGTACATGGAAACTGCTGTCTGATTTCATTTATTTTCTTCTTGGGCAAGGTGTATCAGCGTGTGGTGAATGGGTAAGACCTTCTTGAAGGATATATTCTCTGGACCCGTTTAAACCTAGTTTCATACCAGGGCACAGCACTGAAATGGGCTTGGTGGCTCTGATTGACAATTTATTTCATGGGAAAGAAGGAGGAACATTACTCTGTTGATCTTCTCAGATGTTTCAACAGCTTTTGATCATTGATCATTGTATCATTGTATCTGTGGAATAGGAGCAAAAGGCTCTGTTCTACAGTGATTCCTCTTCTAGCTGAAGGGCAGTTTAAAAGAGTAGCGTTGGGTTTTACCGTAGACTGCCGCAGGGTTCAATTTTATCCTCCATCCTGTTCAATATCTATATGAAGCTACTGGGATAGATGATAAGGGGGTTTGGAGTGGGGTACCATCAGTATGATGATGATATTCAGTTCTATTTCTTAACATTGGAGTCAGATGGGGCACTGCAGGTGCTCGATTTTTGCCTCAATGCTGTTATAAGATTGATGAGGGTCAGTAATCTGAAGGTGAATACTGATACAGTTGAGGTTTGGTGATTGGTGGTTGTTCAGTTTTGGAATTAGGTAAACAGCTTATTCCGGACAGGATTGCACTCCCTCTGAAGGAGTAAGTGCATAGTTTGAGAGTGCGCTTAGATCCATCCCTATCACTGGTGGCTCAAGTGCATTCTGTGTCTTGGAATGATTTGTGCCAGTTTCAATTGGTGAGATAACCAATTTCCTAGAGATAACCTAGCCACAGAAGTCCATTTACTGGACTTCTCAATTAGATTACATAAATGAGCCTGTGATGTTGGTGGGACAGAGGAAAAAAGCCTCTCTAAGAGATCTTAGAGCAATAGCAAACTTATAAAGAGAACTATAACAATATTTATGAATGCCTAGTGCTGGGAGATTTCTACAAAGTACACTAATGAGAGAACTTTTGTTTTATTTTGTAGCTATTGGTGAATATGAAGATCTAAAGGAAGAAAACAAGAAAACAAAAGAAAAGGTTTGTACTTGTTTTCATATGACTGAAGATAATCTGCAACCTTTCTGGGACATCTTGTGTTTTCAGAGGCTTCATCTACATTGATCATTTCATGGACATTCAAACCTAGCTTCAAACTGTGGCAGCCAGACAACAAACACTCACAGAACTGTGCACAAGAAAGTCCTTAATCTATAGGATTTGCTATATAATCATCTGCACAAGGAAACTACTTTCTTCAACACCAGTTTGAAGCTGCATTTAAATGGTTAGTGTAGATGTGCCTAGAGTACCAATATTCGGTGCTTTTTGGAGTATTTTATGCCTCATAATTGGCCCAGTAAAGGTATTGCTGCTTGTGCATTTTGGATTTTGTTGTATCTGTCTGAAATCAGTATTGTTATTAAAGCTTATACAGTGTAATTAGTCCCATCCAGAAACTCCCGGGGTACATTTGATTATCCCCAGAGAGATATAAGCTTTTCTATTTAAATATCTTAGCTGTATGAGAAAATATTTAGAGCAGCTGCCATAAATGAAGCAGTCTTTTGACATTCCTGTGGTTTGGAATGTTATTGATATGTATATTCAGGTCCATATTGTGTTAAGACCTTAGAAAGAACAAAAAAAAATGTATGGGCTTTTAAAGCACTGTTTCTTCACTAGAAACAAAAGGCAAAGAAAGGATACAGTAAATATGAGTACGGGAAATATGATGTTAATAGCATAGTCTGAATATTTTTTTACGGGGAAGAGACCTGTTGACTATAATGTAGGCTTGTCTGGCCATATTTCCAATGGTCCCAGGCTCACTGTAGACAGAAACGACAATAAAAGGAAGCGACAAAATTTGGTTAAAATGTTGTTTTTTTAAAAAAAAACTTGTATTGAATGACATTTTTAGTATGCACAGATATCTAAGTTGATGAAACAAATCTGCTGCTGCTGCTGTTGTTGTTATATTATGTATACTGCCTGAGCACTATATTTAACAAAAGATTTGGTACTAAAAGCAAAAATAACATGGAATAGGCATTGTTGTGCCTAGTTAAGCCCTTTTTAGTTAGAGACCTCTTTGCATTTGAAGCCTCTGTTGCCCCGCCCCGTTAAGAATTCTCAGGGGCGGAGCCTCAGGCAAGGCACTTTTGGTTCTTGGAAGAGCCAGTCTTTTCGTGACTGGAAGGTGAAGAGAGAAGAAGGCTGGAAGGTCTACAAATAGCACGTCCAGTTGGAGCTGTATGAGCTGTAATCAAGTCCAGTCAGAGTTAAATACTGAGACCATCTTAGATACAGTTGAACACTATACAAGAAAGAGACTATAAGAAGAACTAAAGATTCAAGAGCCTCAGTTCTGCCAGAACTGTGTCTATCTCTCAAAGACTTTACTTCTCTTCACAAAGACTTCGTAGTGAGACTCAGGAGGAGAGAAAATCTAAATTTCTTGTCAGTTAATAAATTCATGTTTGAGTCAACTATATAGGCTCCAATCTGCTCTGCGCTCAGCTAGTTCACCTTCCAAGTAGTTAAGATAGCGTAGGGGCAGAACAGACATGCATCACAAAAAGGAAGAGGAGTTCAACATGTTTCAGCATCTTTTAAATTCAAAGTTAGCATTATACACACGTGAAATATAACAACTAGGTCAGGTCAAATAAGTCTTGCATAAAACAAAATATTTATTTATTTATTTACGATATTTTTATCCTACCCTTCTCAAGCTCGAAAGCAACTCAAGGCGGTTTACAGATTGGCAGCCATGCGATGCCATAACAGTCCACAATATACAGTTAAAACAACATTATAAAACAATATAAAACCATTAAAAACATATAGTAACCAATTTATTTATTTATTTATTTATTTATCATGCCAGAAGCGAATTGAGAATACAGTTGCAATGTATACAAAAACCACAAACAAAGTTACAAACTTGGCATTATACTAAATTTCCTTTGACCAGAAGCTGGCCACTTTGAGTGCCTCTGGTGTCGCTGTAAGAAGGTGCTCCATTGTCCATGTGGCAGGGCTCAGACTGCATTGTAGTACGTGGTCTGTGGTTTGCTCTTCTCTGCACTCGCATGGCATGGACACCACTTTGTAGCCCCATTTTTAAAAATTCGCTCTGCATTCTGTGGTGCCATAACGCCGTCTGATCAGCACTTTCCAAGTCACCCAGTCTTCTGTGTGCCCAGGAGGGAGTTTCTCATCTGATATCAGCCACTGATTGAGATTCTGGGTTTGAGCCTGCCACTTTTGGATTCTCGCTTGCTGAGGTCTTCCTGCGAGTATCTCTGTAGATCTTAGGAAGCTATTTCTTGATTTAAGGTGTTGGCATGCTAGTTGATTTCCGAACAGAGGATGAGCTGGATATGTTAATGCCTTAGCATGCCCACTGCATGATTGCTTTAAAAACTTTTAAAATGCATAAATCAATAAATGGGGTTAAAAGGAGTGACAAGGTTTTTTTCCTGGATGCATTCTGGAAAAATAGAAAATAATAGAATTCAGCATATAATTGTATAAACTTGTTATACTGTTCAGATTCACAGTAATCACGAACAATATTATATGGATTTTTGTACAATCACTCAGAGTGATTGTACAAAATCCATATAATATTGTGATCACTGTGAATCTGAACAGTATAACAAGTTATACAATTATATGCTGAACTCTATTTCCTATTTTTTGTATAAGTGGGATATTTGTTGAGCTTACTAATTCAGGGACCCATTCATATTGCATTCTGGAAAAAAGCCACGAAGAGGTCTCAAAAAAGGTTCCTGATACCTTGTTCCATTTTGCTTGTGCATATTGTTAGTTTGAGGGGAAAATGTTGCCTGAAAAATGTTGAAGTGCTCCTTCTTTTGTGGTGGAGGGTCATATATCCCTATTCTTTTCCTGTTACCTCTGCTTCTGGTTTTTCTAGTTAGAGAAGTATTGCTTAGGATTTATTTTTATAGTAACCAATGTCTTCCTGTTAATCTCATTTTCCAGTAGCATCATCTAGGCCGTTCCATGTTTCAAACTTACATAATCCCGTGATTGTCTATTTCACTGCATTTCCAAAGGCTTGTTCAAAGAGCCAGGTTTTTACTTTTTTTCACAAGGCCAGGAGGGAGGGGACCCGATCTAATATCCCTAGGGAGGGAGTTCGACAGCGGAGGGACCACCACTGAGAAGGCCCTGTCTCTCATCCCCACCAGATGTTTCTGTGAAGAAGCCGGGATCGAGAATAGGGCCTCCCTAGATGATCTTACATTCCTAGACATCTTGAATCTTATAGAGACCACTGTAAGACTTTCATCATGTATCCAGGGATAACTTTTTCTTTCACCAAGCTCCACTTTACTTATGGTTTCCTTTTTCGTAGCCAAACACATTGTTGTTGTTGACAGCAGCAACTTGACAGCAGACTTCAACTTATAACAACCCAATGAATGAAAGATGTCCAAGTCACCATGTCATCAACAGTCCTGCTCAACTCTTGTAAAGTCAGGGCCATGGCTTCCTTGATTGAGACTCTCCATCTGGTATTTCCTTTTTCCTACAGCCTTCCACCCTTACCAAGTATTATTTTTTTTTAGTGAATCATGTTTTTTTACCATTATAGTTATAGATTTTAAAAAATAATTTCTCAAAAGTTACAAAAATGTAATTTTTAGTTATTTTAAAAACAATATCACGCAACATCTGCAAGCCACTGACATATGGAACAAAGCACTCCCTCTTTCTACCTAACTCACTTTTGCCTACATTTTCTTATGTTAGGCTAAGTTTATAAGTAATTTTGACTTAACAATAATACATCCAAATGAATGCATTTTCTTCTGATATCTTAGCCAAACTTTCAATTTGTAGACCCCTCCTTCCCCCGAAGCTCCCCATCGTTGATCGGGCATATATTTCCAGGCCAGGTTGGAGCTTTCCCCAATTTGATACTTCCCAATTAAATCTCAGCTAACGTAGGCAGTTTTGAGAAGCAGGCAACCAGGTTGCAGAAACTTGTTTCTGAACTGGCTTTCTCTTGAAAAATCACCCCTAGTTTCTTTAAGCTGTATGCTTTGAAGCTGATACTTGCAGTAAACATGATATTTGCTGTATTTGTTTATGCTGTTGTTTTATTGTGGGCCTTGGCCTTTTGTAAGCCACACTGAGTCCTTTGGGAGATGTTAGCAGGATATAAATAAAGTTAATAAATAAATAAATAAATTTATAAATAAATATTTGGTGACAATATATTTTCAGAAAACAGCGTATTTTCTACAGCAAGCAGATTCAGGCCGACAAGTTGGATCAGAAGCATGTTTCAGATCAGTTGATTTTTCTTTAAAATTAAAAGAGAGAAGTTTAAGTACTATATATACTTGAGTATAACCAAGTTTTTCAGCCCAATTTTAGGCTGAAAAAGTCCTTCTTAGTTTATACTCGAGTCAAGGTTATTTATTATTTTACTCTGTTATTATTAGTATTACAATTATTACAGTTATTATTATTATTATTATTATTATTGCATGTATCATTTTACTCTATTGTTACCGTTATTATTACATTTCCATTACTTTACTCTATTATTCTTACTGTTATTATTACATTTATTATTTTACTCTATTATTATTGGAAGGATGTGTAAGCACATTTATATTGAAGAAGGTTAGAATAATGGTTTAATCAGAGTTGGGCAGTTTTATCTTAAATTACAGTTTTATGTAAATATTCAACAACATTTAACCTACTGATGCCTCAGTTAATGTAATTGTATTGGTATCTATTTTTATTTTGGAATTTACCAGTAGCTGCTGCATTTTCCGCCCTCGGCTTATACTCGAGTCAATCCGTTTTCCCAGGGTTTTTTTGTGTGTGTGTGTGTGGTAAAATTAGGTGCCTTAGCTTATACTCAAGTATATATGGTATGTTATATTGATATTTTTTTTCAAATGTCATCTTCATACAATATAGTGTTGCCCGAAAGTCAGCATAAAAGCTGTTATACATCCCTGCTCAGGATGGTTCCTTGAGTT